TTTTTTGGTACCGGAGATCAAACTCGGGTCCTTGCACTTGCGCAGCAGGTGGTGAAACCACTGAGCTAAATCCCCCGCCTGAATGAGTATATTTTAATTAACATGACAAATAATTATACTCATTTGTTAAAGAAAAGAAAAAAATGAGTCGACTTCTTTCTTTGGTAACTGTTGGATGCAGTGTTTTCTAGAATATGCTCATGAAACTGCTGAGACTTTATAAATAAAAGAAACCTAAGGGGAAACTTGTAGGTCTCCAGCTATATTTGTGTATGCTACTATGAAATTTAAAAGATAAGTGTGATAGACTATGTTTAGTTTTAATAACTCAAATTGTTGGAGAATTTTTAAAAGTAAGTCTTTTAGGCCTGGCATGGTGTCACATGCTTGTAGTCCCAGTACTTGGGAGGCTGAAGCAGGGGATCACTGTGAGGTTAAGGTTAGCCTGGGTACATAGTGAGTTCAAGGCCAGGTGGAACTACATACCATAGCAAGACCCTGTCTCAAAAAAATTTTTTTAAAGAAAGTAAGCTTTTTTTTTTTTTTTTTTGGTACTGGGGATCAAACTCTGGTCCTTGTGCTTGCGCAACAGGTGGTGAAACCACTGAGCTAAATCCCCGGCCCAAGAAAGAAAGCCTTTTAAAAATGAAAATGTTACTTATTTTAGAAGAGGATACCTTCAGAAGTTAATTAGATGGGGCACTTGCTTAAGTAACTTCAATACTTGAATTACAAATTTATAATACTACATTACTTTAACCTGAGTCTGAGAAGTCATACAATAGGAGTTTACTAACATTTTTCTTTCAATTTTTATTTTTTATTAGTACATGTTTGCAGTACATAATGATTACATTCACCACGGGGAGTTGGTACATGTACACAAGAAGTCTTAATTCTTTTTTCATCCCTTTCTCTCCTTCCCCCTCCCATCTCTTGGTCCCCTTCCCTTTTGCAAAAGATCTCTCTCCCTATTTCCTATTATCTGTCTTTTATTTTACTGTTTATAGTGGAGGTTTTTGCCATGGGGAAAAAAGAATCCTTCTGCATTGTTGGTAGAAGTGTAACATTATGCTAACATCTTTATGAGTCATTAGGATTTCAAAAGCCATTTTATATACATTGTCTTATTTGTTCCTCAAAATAATTTTATAAAGTTAGTTAAATGGGTAATATACTGCCATTTGAAAAATAACTTGCCAATGGAACATAGCTGGTGACAGATTTAGTATGTAAGTCTGTCTTTTTTGTTTTGGCTTTTCATTATGAAAAATTTTGAATGTGTATCAGTAGAAATATTTGGTAAATTCCTATATACTCATTCTGATACTGGTAAACCACTGTTAATAATTTACATGTGCCACATTAGCTTTGTCTTTTTTGTTGCTATTATAATATATTATAAAGCAAGTCCCAGACATTTTGACTTTTACCTATGAATACTTTAGTGAGTATATATCTCTTCAAAAAGGATGTTTTCTTAATGAATATAATGCAATTATCATACCAAACACAATTAGTAATAATTCTTTAATATCACAGAAACCTCATTTCATATTCATATTTCTCCATATGCCCCTAAAATAACTTCTTACAATTGGTGCATTTGAATCAGGATCTAAAACCTGACCCACATGTGGCATTAGTTTCTATTGGCCCACAGTTTTGGAGGTTTCAGTCCGTGATAGATTAATTGGCCCTTTTGCTTTTTGTGAAGCAGCACATCCAGGCTGCATTGCGTGGCAGAGCAAAGCCTATTCATTTCATGGCTGGGAATCCAAAGAAAAGAAGAGGAAGGGCTGGGGTCCAGTCCCAGGGTCCCATTGTCTTTCACCAGCAGGCAGGCACACATTGATGACTGTAAGACTTCCACTGGGCCCCACTTCTGAAAGGCAGGGAGGGAAGAAAAGGGGAGAGGGAAGGAGGAGAGAGGCTGAGAATTCACCAGAGGGTTTAAGGATAAAGTATAGAAATCTGCTGTGTAAAAATAATTTCCTTTGTTTTCCTAATAGTGTATAGAGTTCTGGTTCCCTAAGGGACAGTATTACTTGCAGTTTTCTTTGGTTTTCGTAAGTAGTTCTTTCTATAGAAAACAGTGCATAAAAGAAATGAGATAAAACTACATAAATACTGTTTAAAAGCTTCTCAAATTAAAAAATAAAAATACACATAAAATAATGAAATATTTTAGCTTTACTGAAGTATACTGGTTAAAGTACACTCTCTAATATAATACTATAATTAAGTTATAACTAATTGCATCGTTGTATTTCAAAGGCAGGCTTCTCTCTCCCCTCCAATCCCAAAAGAATGACTGCAAAATAAAGGAAACTGGTATTCCTTTTTAAAAACTAACTGCTTGTTTGTTCCTAGGAAAGAAATATTTACATAATTGCATATCTCAGCCCATTTCTTAAATGCATTACTTATGTCACATTTATTTTTTGCGTGTGTCTAGTGTTAAGAAAATATACTGTGGCAGCGATTTGTATGCAGTAGCAATTTGTGTGCAGTACTGAATTGGTAAAATTTCACCCAGTAGAAACCTAAGTAGTCTGGCCTATTTTTGTGTTTTACAGCCAACTACATGTGCACAAGCAGGCCTCAATTAAGAGTTTAATCATTTCACACATCTTGATGGAAGTAATTGTATCAACAGTTCAGGAAATTCAAATGACCTTTTCTTTATACCCCTTTGGATAGGTCTGTTGTTAAGGGCATTACTGAGAAGCACAAAATGATTTTATTTTCAGAGTTATTGATTCATGCTTCCTCTGTTTTGTTTCAGGTGGATCATCCATGCTATGGAGTATGAACTTCAGATCCGTAGCGGAGACAAGCCAGCCAAAGACTTATATCAGCTGTCACCTAGTGAAGTTAAACAACTTCTGTTGGATGTTCTGCAGCCTCAACAGAGTAGAAGGTAATGAGGGCCTTTTATTACCTATAGGACACTCTGAATGTATAGAAACATCATACTTTTTAACTTGATGTCTGAAATTAATAGATAGTAATAAGAAATAAAATGCAGCAGTGTCAGGGCCTATGTTACTGAATAGAATATAAAAGACTAAAATATCTGTCTGTTTGATTTTGGTTGATTTGAAATTTATACTTTTTTCAGGTGTGTCTTATAAGCATTTCCTCATTATTATTCTGTACAAAATGTAACACACAAAATGCCACACTATTTTGGTTAATTCCCATTCTGAACATTCATATATAGCATTCAGCATCTATTTTGGCAGAAGGGATTGGATATGGTAACATTATCTATGTTTCCTGTGACTCTTTGTCTCTAAATAGACTGTAAACATTGGCTAAGCACTTCCATAAACTTAACTTGTGCTAGCTTAAGAAAAGAACAAAGCAAGTACTATGAGTTGCATCTGTATTGCAGATTATACCTTGTTGAGTACACCTATAGTAATATTCCAACAGCTATTTTATAGAGTTAGACAAATTAATACTGAACTTCATATGGAAAAACTAACATGCAAACATAACCAGAAAACATAAAAGAATGACTTGCCATAATAAACATTAAAACATTATCTCTTTATTTAAAACACTGTGATATTGGTGCATGAACAAATAAATAGACCCATTGCAGAGAAAACAAACTCTTAGAAGTAGATCTGCAAATACTTATTTAAATGTTAGTATATGAGGAAGGTGGCATCTCAAGTCGCTGGATCAAATTTTAAATAAGTAGCAGTGGGACAACTGGATAGCCATTTGCAAAAGAAAATCAGATATTTTATGTCATACACAAGAGTCAACTCCAAACAGATTAGAGATCTAAATGAACTTATCAAACAAGTGCTAAGAGAAGACATGGGCAAATTACTTTTTAACTTTGGTTTGGAAAAGGCTTTCTAGCTATCACTCAAAGGCAACAAAAGGAAAGATTAATAAAGTAATAGTTTAAAACAATATTTTGTGTAAAAAAAAGATAGATGTCATGAGACAGCTGAGAAACTAAAACAAAATATATGCCACAAAGAGATAATATCCAAAAATTCTTAAAAATTGAGATAGGCACCAAAAAAAAAATCCAAGATACAAATGGGAGAAAAGCATGACTAATAAATTCATTTAAAACACATAAAATGTTTTTTAGATACTTATAAAGATATTCAAGCTAACTTATAATTAAGACCAAATTAAATTAAAACATATCGAACCATTTCTCATCTTTCACCCTGGCAAAAGTTTAAAAGTATAATAAACATTTGGTAAGACTGTGCCTGCAAACAGGTTCTCTCATATGTAACTGATGAGTGCAGCCCTTCTGGACAGGAATTTAACAACATATAAAAGATCTATATTTTCACTGACTCTTTGATCCAGTAATCCTTTTAGGAATCTACTTTGAAGATATTCCACAAACAATATGAAAAATATGCATAAGATTATTCATTAAATTGTTATAATGAAAATTTGAGAATTCCTATAACCTGAATGTCTATACATAAGAAATTATTATGTGGTGTGTCTATACAACAAAGTACTGTGGAGCTGTTACAAAGAATGAGCATGATCTCTATAAACTGTAAAATACAAAAGAACTTCTGTAATATGTTACTCTTCCTGTAAGAAACGAGATATAAAGAAATGTCATGTTTATCTGCTCATTTGTATAGAAGAAATACAGGAAGGATAAATCAAAAACTAATACAATCGGTCACCTTTAGAGAGTAGGTGGAAGCAGGATAGAAAGAAAGGAGAAGTGTGGGCAGGATGACAGTAATAAGTGAGCCTATGATATTCCAAATGGATAACATTACCACACTGAGGGTGGTGGGAAGAAAAGAATTAATCAAAGTCTCACTGGAAAACACTGCTCTGACTGGATTCTGTGAGACTAAAGAAAAACTACTGCACATAAATACTGTACTCTGGCTAATAAAATTTTTTCTCACAGATGTACAGATTAACATTTCTAGATATTACCTTAGATTAATGAATGAGAACTAGATTTTTCACTATTAATGACAGCGTTATAAATAGAGAAGAAAGAAAGTCTAGGCTGGATTTAAAGTGATAATATTGGTGTGAATTCATAGTCTTTCATACAGATAGACACAGAAGTGCCTGTGGATATGTGGATGTAGATATGCATATACAGCCATTATTTCCCAGCTCTTTTTACTAAGATGACCTAGAAACAATGATGCTCCGATAGTATTGAGCAAATGTAGTACCCAGATATTGCTTTCTAGACATTTTGGGTTTTTTTGTTTGTTTTGTTTTGCTTGAGACATGGTCACACTATTTATTAGTTCAGTCTGGCCTTGAACTTACTGTGTAACCAGGCTGGCCTCAGACTCATGGCAGTCCTCCTGCCTCCACCTTACAAGCATGTGCCAACACACTCATCACTTTTGCTTTCTAAATACTATTCTCTAATGAACAAAGCAACATTCCCTGGAGAAATGATTGGTTTCAAGGCATGGCAGGAAAAATGTAAGATTAGCCTGGAGCACGTTGTGCTAGAAAGTTAGGAAATCTCAAAATATGAAAGATGTGTTAGATGGCCACTGGAGACAACTGGAAGGAGTCCCTGTGGCTATAGCTGGGACAATTTGAGCAACAAAATAAATAATGATAGTATTGGATTATAGCCCATAGAGTAAATATCCCATAATGCATGCTGCTATGAATAGTAGGAGAGAAGGGGCTCCTACTTTTGGCAAAATCCTAATTAATAAGTATAAATAGGATACTTATAATAGGAAGTCATTCATTATTAGGCAAATACAACAGTAATAATTCTTGCAGGCAAGAACAGTTGCAGGATGAAAATAATATGAGGAATGAAAAATTTGCATAACTTAAAAATACTTACACTCAAAAATACTTATTCACTGCAAAGGGTGGAAGAAGTAATTTCATAGTGGAGAAACCTAGCAGACTCTACCTTAAGCAAATGATTAAGATTAGCATCACCAGTGGTAACACATCAATACCATGTACCCATTTATAAAATAGATTGAAAAAAAATGCATCACTTCTGGATATTCTTGCCAAAAATGCATCATCTTAGTCTCTTCATAAGAAAACATCAGACATCCTCAAATTGAAGAAAATTCTGCAAAACAGCAGACATGTCTAACATGACAGTCATGAAAGAATAAGGAAAGGCTGAGGAATTGTCACAGCTTAGAGGAGCCCTCCTATGAGACACAGAATATAAATGCCATGTGGAGTCCTGGATCAAAACATTAATGGTAAAAATGATGAAATCTGAATGAGGTCCATAGATTATTGTTACTGTTCAGTATTCATTTCATAGTTTCTATAATTGTGCTATAGTTATGTAAGAGTAGGGAAGCTAAATAAAACCAAATAAAGAACATAAAAACTTTATGAATTTATCTCTGTAATTTCAGTAAGTCTAAGGTTTTTCAAAATAAAATGACAAAAAATGAAAAAGATATTCTAAAATAATTCCTCACTTGTACTGTGAGAATTCTCACATTTCCTTTTACATTCTCCTTTTTGGGGGATGCGGGTGGGGGATCAAATGCAGAGTGTGGGGTATGCAGTAATCACCAATAGATCCTAAACCTTTGAGCTTATTCATTTTAGAAAACACTGCACTCACAGTGCAAGCCTGGGTACATTAAAAGAAACTTTGTACAGCCCCAAAAAGATGTCTCCTTACAAAGTTGTCATATTTCACTGGCCCTCTTTCACAAAACCAAGTGTCTTTTCTGTATTCTGCATAGCTACATTCATACCTAGAAATATTGTTGGTCATTACATGCCTCCCGTGTGGTGCACTACACATTTCACCCTACTGGCTTTTTAAATGCCAAATGTAAAAAGTATGTATATATCTGTTCCTTTACCTTTTGTAAGAATATACTACTGCATCACTGTGTTCTTTAGAAAGTATACAAATTCTACGTCTTTAGCAGTTTGTAAATGATGTATTCTATCTTTAACACTTAATCCATGAAAATAAGAGAACTAGAATTTTGGCTTATCACTATGTTCTGATTATTATGACATGCAAGATTTTATATCTGTTTTTTTCCAGCAGTGAGACTCTAGCTGTATTTATTTTATTTTATTTTTTTAATTTTTTTATTTTTTTGGTACCGGGGACTGAACTCGGGTCCTAGCTGCCTGTAAGGCAGGTGGTGGAACCACTGAACTAAATCCCCAGCCCTCTCTAGCTGTATTTAAATAACAAACTTTTTTAAAGTTCATACGTTACAAGGGAATTTCATTACATATAATGCTTTTTGAGGACTCATTTATTCATTCATCAAATATTAAGTACCCTTGTGGAAGAGATGTATAGGAATGATTAAGTCCTGTGATTTGTATGCCTTCACAGAGCCTATATTTTATTATATGTGAAACTACAAAAATTATTATAAAGTTTGTTGCTCCTGTTTTCTTTTTCTTTTTTCCTTGGGCTGCTATGTTTTTAAGTGGAACTACTTTGTATATTAGAAAATCATTTGATCATGTAGTGAACAACTTATAGTTTACAAGAGAGTAATTACTTTATCTGTTCAAATTTTTTTAATCTTAGAGATTTCCTCCCCTATTGCAAGCTCTGTTTTCACTATAAAATATTTACTAACATCTGTAACACATGGCAGATACACATTGTTGATGGGTTTGGGCTTTTATTACTCACCCTACTGGATAGCTAATCCACTCTGAAAGCCTTGCTTTCTACCAGAACAAGCTTGTTTGTCAGTTCTGAGGCATTTTCCTTTGGTCTACAGATGCTGGCTGAATAGGCGTCAGATTGATGGGTCTTTGAATAGAACTCCCCCTGGGTTCTATGACCGAGTGTGGCAGATCCTGGAGCGCACACCCAATGGTATCATTGTAGCCGGCAAGCATTTGCCACAGGTAAAGCCCCACTATGTTTCATCAGGAAAAGAAACTTCCAAAGGGACCTAAAGGAGGAGAGCATCCTCCCCTTCTGTACTACAAATAACTTTTCTGCTTATCAGTGTTCTGTGAGTATTCAAAGAAGGGATATCCAGATACCTGAAGGGATAAAATACTATACTAGAGCTGGGCATGGTGACTCATGCCTATAATCCCAGCACTTGGGATACTGAGGCAGGAGGATCACTCCACGTTCAAGGCCAGACTGAACTACATAGCAAGACTCTGTCTTTAAAAAATAAATAAATAAAATATTAGAAAATAACAAGTCCAGTCATTGGGGATGGAAACACTTCCTGCATGCTGAGTTACTTTTATTTTTCAATTTTAGAGTCCTTGTAAACAAAAAAACTTGCTTTTCTGTCATATTCAGGTATTTCAAGGAGGGTCTCTTTAGAGGCACCACATGGCCAAACCTTGCAGAGTGAACTTTCCTTCCTTTGTGTACTTTGAGTGAATTTAGGATTTCTTGTATTGGCTTTATTTTCAGTAGGACTATCCCTTTACCACTAAAAGTAGTGGTAGGCTAGTGCTGGGGGACCTTACAAGCAGTAAAATGTAAAATTGCAGAGAAAGAACCTGGTCAAGCCTAAGAATCAAGGTAGCCCAGTGATGCTGTAGATAAGGAAATTACTGCTTACATTGAATCCGCAACTTGCATTGAATGTGAAAAATGTAGTCACTTTTTAGATCAATGAATAGATAGTCACTTATTTTACTTGAGGTAGTATAAGTTACCTGTGATCCAAACAAATTTCAGTGTCCTTTCCTGAATTTGGTTTCCTAAGTTATGTAAACTAGCCTGCTTCTTTGATGTGATTATTATATTTTTTAATCCTGGCATGGAAATCATTCTGCTTATATACACAGAAAAGGCAGAGTACTATTTTTGTATATAGTATTTAAACTTGAAACAAATTAATTTTGACAGAGCTTTTTTTTACAATGTATTCTGAAATGCACACATCCACACTCCTTTTGCTTTTATGTATACACAAAAGTATCCTTGGAAGAACACACAAGAAATTTGTAACATTCTTTTTTAAGAAGAGGGACTGTGTGTCTGGTGGGGAACAATGTGAACTTTTCACTGAAACCCTTTTTAACCTTTCACAGTAATTACATTAATGTATTTCTTAATCCAAAATGTAAATGAAAACCTTTCAAAGTATTCTATCAGTGATGGAAAACCCTTTAGAGCATTCAATGATAAAAAGCCCATGTTGGCATGCATGCCATAGGTTCACCATCACTGCTTTATGCAGTGGACCCTTGACTTAACAAACTGGATTGGTTCTCAAGGGCTGGTTGTAACTCAAGTTGGATGTGAGTCAATACAGCTAAGATCTGGATGTTTACCTGGGTCACACCATAGATAACAAGAGGCAGATGAATCTTCCATTAACCTAATTAACCCAAGTTGTTCTTATGTCAGGCTGGTCATAATTTGAGGGTCCACTGTGTTATTCTGGGACTGTGAGTGTTTTTATTTGCTTCTTGGCATAGCTACACAAGCCCTTCCCTTCCTGCCCTGGGAGCGACCCTTTCTCCTGGAAGGAGAGACAGAGTCCCTGTTGTTAGCATCCTGCTGCTTCTGGGAGCCTCATCTCTGCACTCACAGGCAGTGCACTGTGGTTGCCACCTGTCTCAACCCACTAATGTTTATTACCAGGTTTCCTTTGATTCTCTGATAGGGCAAGTCACTCACTTTTAGTATCCTACTGCTAACAATAACAATAGATACATGTTAAGTATTGTTATGCTCCATGTACCTTTCAAATGCACATTTAATCATCATAACAATTTTGTGAGAAAAGTGCTGTATTATTCCCACTTGTCAGAGGAAGAAACTGAAGTACAGCTGAATGATTTTCCCAAGGTCACATCTAGTAAGTAGGTAGCCCAGGGGATGAAACTTTGGCAGTTTGGTTTCTGAGGCTTTTATCGTCTCTGCTAAACTGCTTAACCCTAATTCCTCTTAGACTAGTAGGTAATAAGGCAAGTTTGTTATCTCTCCTATAAGCTTGTCACAGTTACATAGTGGCTCAGGTGATTTTAAATGAGATAGATTTAAAAGTAATTAATGTAAAACCATAAAAAGGGTCTTCTTTTCCTTTTGTTGCTTTGTTAATCCATTGTTAGACATCTAAACAATTATAAGTATATTTGGCAGTTGGGCTTCATTTTTCCCAAATTGGTACTATTCATGAACATCAACAATATGTTGGGTTATATTGACTGTGGAGTCAGATGTACTGAGTACAGAACTAAGATTTTATACCAAGCTGAACAACTTTGCTATCACTTGATTGGAAGAGAACAACAAAGGGCCCCTCAGTCCCATTTTGAGTAGTAAGTAGATATACATTGTTCTGAAGCCATAGTTAATTTCAATGTAAATCTTCAGTAAGATAAAAAAATAAGTATTTCTCCTCTTTGCTGGTACTTCTAGTGATGACTCCATCCACACAAGTCTAACTTTTGAATCTTTCCCTCCTGTCTTTTAAGAGTTACTCACTATGCCCAGATTTCAATCTGAATTTGAGTTTACTTTCTGCTTTCATTTGATTGTGAAAAGTGGATGGAAGACTGTATAATACTCTTGTCTTAAATGACAGATAAAGGGCAGAGTAGAGAAAATTCTTTTAGCTGTGCTTTTGTTTTCTGTTTCCTTTCCATTTCTGCATGTATTGTTTTTGCTTGTTTGTATGTATTTTGTCCTACCAGCTCAGAAAGGACCACCACAGAAATTATGTAAATTCAGTAGCAAGAGACTTACATGGTAAAATTTGACAGCAAGCATAACTTCCCATGTTAATTCTGAAAGCAATATGTACTCTATTTGTTGTCTCAGTTTTGGGCTGTTCCTGTCTTGTAGTGAAGTGGCTTTGTAATGTATTTTCCTCTAAAAATATTAATATAATGAAGAGAACTACTAAAAATGAGAGGTTTAATTTATCACAGTAATCAGCTTATTGGCTCCAGGAGTTTGACATATATAAAATCCAATCATAGAAACAAAAATGCTCTCTAAGGTTTTATAGAAACTGAAAGACTATTGATTAGAAGATGAAATTCTTCTAGTAAATGAGAACCAGAGTATGATATTCAGCAACATGTTTATGTGGAGTTATTTTTTTCAGCAACCAACCCTGTCAGATATGACCATGTATGAGATGAATTTTTCTCTCCTTGTTGAAGACATGTTGGGAAACATTGACCAGCCAAAGTACAGACAGATAATTGTGGAGGTTTGTATTTACAAATGTAAATTGCTAAAAACATGCTTTCGGTCTACTCCCTAAAAACCAGCCTAGGAAAACTGCCCGGAAGAGCAAGAACTTTATTCCTCACTTAACTCTCAGCTCCTCCAATGGAGTCTTCTAGAAGATGGCCATCCTTGACCCAAGTCAAGGTGCCTAGCAACTCAAACACCTTTAAACGCCTTCTGGGTAGAAAAACGGAGAGCCCAGCCTTTCAGCGGCACTCTCACCGTGCAGCAGCAGTTGCTTCAGTAACACCTTAACAAGAGAAGAAGTGATCTTTTTCTATTAATTTTGTTTTCAGGTTATTTTCTGTTTACAGAAATAATACACTATTATTCTAGAAAGTTTCAATAGTTTAGAAAATTATAGAAAAGAAAAACCCCCACACCCCCGCTAACAGGAGCTCATCATAGTTAATCTTTTGAGGGACATCTTTCCAAAGATCACCTGTATAGAGAAGACATGTAATTTTGTGCTGTGCCAATGCTTTATATAAATTAAATGGTGAAATACACAGGCACCTGTACACATATGCCCTTTTTTACTTTAAAAGATTATCTCAGATATATAATGAACCCCCAAATGATGGATTTAAATGCAGCTTATTCTCATTTTGTCTTTTCTCTTGGAAAGTATTGATCAGACTATGTGTTTCTTGAAGGTAGGTAAGATCTCTCTAGTACAGAAGTTAGCAGTGAGTGGTAAACTGGATGCCACACCTCTTATAATCCAACATTTCTGGAGCTGCAATTTGACCTCATCTCTGCTGTCCCAAGATGTGGAAAAAGATTAACTAATCAGTTCCATAGAATATGGGAGTGAGATACAGTTGGGTCAGGAAAAGATGGAATTATTTGAAGGCTGAATACCTTCTTTGTGCTAAGACCTTCCCCTTCCTTCCATGTGTGGTGCCTAGCTTCTGGGACATAGCATGGACATAGAAGCCCTTCTCACTGATTTTTTGCAGAAGAAATTTTCCTGTAGAGTGCCAGGAAAACTTCATATTCTCTTGGCTAAAACCCTGTCCCATGGGTCTTGCACATTGTGAGCCCTGGATTTTACTGAAAATGTTTCTTTTGGTTCTTTTAAGTTCTCTTGTAGAAAGAAACATTTACATGAAAATACACTCAGTAAGATTTCCAAATTGGTAATTAAGAGGTCTGTTTCTTGTTCAGTGCTCAAAGAAGGATACATAAGCCTCATCAGAAAGCCTTTGTCAGGCATTGGCATAGCAAACACAAGCTTTGCGTGTAAGAGTTTGTCACATTACCACTTGTGTAAATGTACAGGGGCCCAAATATGGTGATGCATTCATTAAACTAAGATAGTTTGCACAGTCCAGGTAATACTCATGTCATGAAAAGGCCAGAGTTAAAGTATTTATTTTTTAAAATCACTAGCCACTGAGAAACTTCGACTTAATGCTCATTTTGAATCATAAAGAGCTAGGCTCTGCATTGTTAGAACCTAGCCCTTGAGCCACCATTGATCACCATTGCCTTCTCTGGCTTTGTCCCCTGTTCCTCTTCCCTGGCATTCCTGCTCAGTTGCACACTGTTTTTGGTGTCTTGCCAACAAGGATTAGGCCCAGAGGAGTTCAGATGCTTTTGGTAAATAGAGTACCACATAATATTTACAGGATTAAGAAAGTCATTTTTCTAAGTTTCCAGTTTTATTTAAGTGACTAAAATAATTTCTATATACCTATAGAGATATATGCAATGGAAAAATGTGCAATTTCCTAATAGAACTTATACCGGTGATTTTCAAAATTAGGAAGATTCCATCCATAGGTGATCTTTAAGCCTCATTTAGAGCACTTTGTGGGATATGAATGTCATCCATCAGTCTGATTAAGAATGAAAACATGTCCACCCTGTGTTACTACTATGGTTCATATAATTGGCTTCCAATGTCTATCTTTTCTAGTTACTAATGGTTGTATCCATTGTACTGGAAAGAAACCCTGAGCTAGAATTTCAAGACAAAGTAGATCTAGACAAACTGGTGAAAGAAGCATTTCATGAATTTCAAAAAGATGAGAGTCAACTAAAAGAAATTAAAAAACAAGTAAGTAGCAAAAACAGCTTTTTGTAGAAAACAGCTTTTCACTGTCTCAATTCTTCAAAATATTCCTAATCTCTTATCATTTAGCTTATAAAACATTCGCAGAGTACAAAATAGGATACTTGAGAGGCAATCTGACTTCTTTGAGGAATTAATATCACTTTTGAGTTAATTACTAGTCAATTCAGCTATGAAGTTCAGACAAAAAAATCTAGGAAGAGATAAATTTTGTTTATATAGTTGGCAGTTAAAATGTTTTTTTTTAACCAAGGAAGAGTCATTGAGTCCAGAAAGCTATGAAATGGACTTCTGAGGAAGTTGGGAATGCAGAACAGGCTACATTGATGCTGTATACTACCTAATATGGTTCCTTCTAGGCTCCCTACTTAATATTTTAAACTCATATCTGTGAAAAGGTGTGCTAAGTAAATAAAAATTGGCATCAAAGAAGAGAATACTAAAAATGTCTGTCTTTGTTTTATATGCTGAGCAGATGTTTCAGGAAAATGAAAGAAAAGCTCAGGAAGCTCATATTTTCCATGAGGAAATCTTCTGTGAATTTATTTTTCCCTCTAGGCTGACACTGATCTTACCTGTCAACTCTATACAAAATATCAAACAACTTGCTTACTGTTTTCCTATGTAGGATGACATGACTTCCTTTTACAACACTCCACCCCTGGGAAAAAGAGGAACATGCAGCTATTTGACAAAGGTTGTGATGAATTTGCTGCTGGAAGGAGAAGTCAAGACAAGCAATGAGGATTCATGTCTGGTTAGCTAGTGAGGAAGGTGGAAGGGGCTCTTCTAAGACTGATTTCCTAGCAGTGTGTGAAGTTTTGTGTTGAAGCTTAATCAAGGAGGCCATTTATGCATGAGCTGGTCTTAATGGTGAGGTGACTGCCACACCCCTGGGAAAGTGATGGACCTTTTGCATGCCGTTGCCAGTCTAATGGTGAGAAATCTTTTAATCAAGTGAAAAAGTCTTCTTGATTACACCACCTACAATAACCTTTACTGAACAACAGAAATAGCTTATGAATTGAATATTCACTGCTGCATGTCTTACGATCAAATAGTTCATCAGAGCAGGGCATGGTGACACACGCCTGTAATCTCAGCACTTGGGAGGCTGAGGCTGGAGGATCATAGTTCAAGACTAGCTTGGACTATATAGCAAGACCCTGTCAGAAGAAAGAGAAAGGAAGAAAGGGAGGGAGGAGGGAGGGAGGCAAGGAGGGAGGGAAGGGAGGGAGGGAGGGAGGGAGGAAGGGAAGGAAGGAGTGAAAAGAATGTCGCATCAAAATGAATCTTTGCTGTTTAGACTGAATTCACACCTTTCTGCCATTAAAATGAATTTGCCAACTAGTAATGCTTACTGTGAATCAAAAGATATTGGAAGAATGATGAACATTTTTAAGTGGCATTGTCATGTTAGAGGATGATAGTAGTGTACATCACGGAGGCCAAGATAGTCAACCGATATTTGTTTTTTCAGGAACTGCATTATTAATATTTTAGTATACAAAGCTATTGTATAATTTTTACCTTGAGAATGTGACTGTGGTTTTGTATTTGTGTGAAGCATAAGAGTTGCATTTAAATATAATGTAATAAATCTATACCTTATCAGACATTTTGAGCTACCACTGGATATAGAACATGCTTAGGATGCTTTAGAAGTATGTTAAACTTTGGACCGTTAACCTTGTAAAAGCAAAATTAAAAGTCATTAAATTTTATTTCTGAATTAATGTACCTGGATACATTCTTTATTCAGACTCCCGATATAGAGTTTAATACTCCTGAATATTCTCATTTAATGGCTTTGGACATGTAGTGGAAGAGAATCTAAGGCACCTACCATTATACATTTTTGCTACCAAATTTACTCAAGCAAACATTAATAAAAATTCAAATATTAAACATTTAAATATTATGCATGTATCTCCTAAATGTTATGATGCAGCACATTAGTTTGAGCCCTAGTCCCAAAGAGTTATTTTTCTGACCAGTCTTAAAGAGTTTCACCTGAGAAATCAGATTTGCCACATAAAGTATGTAGTCCATTTGTAGCGTCTTAAAAGGATTAAGAAAGAACAAGTGGTTTCCCTAACAAGGCAATTGATACCAAAGAAATGAATGTGTCAACATGTTGAAAAATCAGTCCCATTTCTCATTTGGGGTACAGTGTCTAGGTCTTCCATAAGAAACTGTATGTATATTAGGTGATAATATTGAGAAGAAAAATATAAAATCTGTCTTTACTGACTACCTTAAGAGAAATCATGACAAAGAGGATTAAATCACTTCAACTAGTATATTAAGAGAGTTTGTGAAAAGATACCCCTGAATGATGAACCCAGTTTATAAAACTTAGGCATGAGAAAAAAAACCAAACATGAGCATGAACCCTGTGAAGAATCTAGAACTGATTTTTCATAGCTGGGGAAAGTGGAATGGGAGAGAGAGAGGTAGGGAAAAAGGAAGGAAGGAAAATAGGGAGAGAGGGAGGGAGGACATGCTTTGTTGTACATTTTTGTTGTTGTTGTTACTGGGGACCGAACTCGGGACCTTGCACTTGAGAGGCAGGCGGCAGAATCACTGAGCTAAATCCCCGGTCCTGTTGTACATATTTTTAAGAATTTTTTAAAATTTCTTTTGATTACCTGAGCAAAGTTGCCAGAAAACTGCTGTCTTAGTTGAAATCAAACATCATTTGCAAATATATGCTATCTTCTTGCTTAAATGTTACATATGAAAAATTCTGTTTTCCTCTGCTACTGAAAGCATTCAAAACCTGTAGCACATATATCAATTTTATGCTTTGATGAGATTCAAAATTTATTATTCTGAAAAATATATTGGTTTTGGTAAATCTTTTTTTTTTGTATTAAATTCTTTTATTGGTACATTGTAGGTATACAACACAATTATATTTCTCATTAGGAATTGTACCTTTACATAATGCATCTTGGTTCTTATTTTTTCCCCATTCCTAGCCCTCCCTTCATGCCCTCCACCCTTC